GAGTGAGAGTTAAGTCTTGCTTATATCTTCAACTTCAAAATGCACTGAGACTGAGCGCACACCCCAGAAGTTCGTAGGGCAACTGTAACCTTCTTGATGAAGTACTTGAACGGAGTGTGTCATACCTTTGCGGCTTCTATGATTCATTATGATTCATTGGCAAGAACAGTTTGCCAAAGGCCCATGTCCTGACTTCTGCGCCATAAATTTACGCACGAGTCCTCGATCCAGCTTCCTGCAAACACGTGCAAATATGTTACTCCCAATACAGAAACTTGTGCCGCATTTACAAATCTCAGCGATAAAACACTACGAAATCAACAAGGTGCTCACGGATTTTACATGTACTTTTTAGGCGCCTGAAAGAAATATGCAGCAAAACGTTCTAACGAAAGTCGGTTTAGTTCTCGTAAGGCATCATTTCTCAGCGACCCGCCAATTTATTCATTTCTTTCCTAGGCTCTGCCCCTGTGATTGGACCGAGGCATGTTTTCGAACCCCTTAAGGTCTTGCCCTATTTTTATTATTTCGCTGCACGCATGCTTCTTGACTAACAAGTGGTGATGCTGCTCCGATGTTCGACGAATGAGATAAGAGTTTCCAGTCGGGCACATTTGCAATTATTGGAACTGGAATATAGTCTGCAGTTCATGCAGTTCATGAGAGCCAATCTTATGTACCTTAACCCACAGTCAAGCGTTTCCTTTTCGGAGTCGGACCACTGCAGCCACCAAGATACTGTAACAGGAAATGCGCTTTCGACATCTATTTTTTACATCTGTCCTATTGGTTTTGATATTTTAATCCGTATGCATGCACACCGAATGGATTGACGATTTGGAACAATTCGCATTTATCGATTTCGCAGGAGACATTTGTCAAACTATTATTTTTCCAATTCACTCCTAGGCAGATGTTTGGGCAATTTTTTCCGCACTTGACAACATCTAGCCGGAGAACTAGTAAGGTTCATAGCCGGAGAGCAGATAACAGGGCTCAGTGGATAAATGTTAGTCGTAGAATACAAGGAGACCACGAAGATATCCTGTCTAATGTACATTGGAAGACGAAAGTCCTAAGGGTGTGGGTAATTCTTTGGGCCTAGGAAAGCAGGATTCTCTATTCGTGTCGTCATTGTTTCTCTCTTCGTCGACTTTATGGTTTGATTATACGCTCAACAGAGCACTCGAAGGATTTTTTGAAGTTCACCCAATGACCGATGTCAATCAGGTACTAAATGACAGCGCTCAAAGCATCCATTTTATCAGACCTGCAGGTCAGTAGATTCTTTTGATTGTATGTCGGATCGGCCCCCTCGGATATGCTGTTTTACATGAACATGTGAGTGTATTCTCGCACTCCGATGTTGTTTAACGACCGTTTTTCCTTGTGTTGCGGTGGAAGGTAAAAAACGTTACTTTTACTGTAGGCGTGACTCGTGGCCTTTCCACAAAGGAACTGCTCGGAATTGTCATCCTTACCAATGGCACTAGCTCTTTCACTGGACTGAAAGAACCATTCCTTCTCGTCATTTTACTAAAATATCGAAGAAGATTTCTTTGAGCAGAGGCCTCTTCAAGCTGACCTGTTAACTTTGTTAATTAGGAAACAATGCAAAGGGCGTGCAAATGGGTCATTTCCATGCTGAAACATAAGATTGAGGTGCAGATGCGACCATTCACTTTGTGCAACACATCACCTTAGTCCGACTGTTCTCCCGATATAACAGAGGTAGAATGCACGCACTGAAAATAAAGACCGCACCTCAATTAATTTTCCGAGTTGTTAACCCTCTAAATTGTCAGGAATGCATTTTTTGAAATGGAAAAAAGATGTAGTCTCCTGGCGATTCTGTCAGTTCTAATGGGTATTTCATATCTTGAATCGAAGTTGTATGGAAAAAGCGACACCAGGTCTCTATGCTATACGGTTTTTTCAAAGGGAATGCATAAACAGGCGAATATTTCCGTCAATAGAATATATTTAATGGCGATAGCATCATAAAACAGAATGGATGATGTCTAGTGATGTCTTTTGTCAGATTATAACCTTCTGAATACTTCTTGCTGTTCTCTCTCCTTGTGTGTTTTGCTACTCGAGGGAAAGCCATCTACGGTATGCTAGCGCTCAGGATGTGTTTGCTTTAAAAATGAAATTAAACTACCTTGTTTAATGTCCGAGAAAATTAATACGCCAAATTGCAGTAAGTCACTCAGAACAAAACTTTTTAGATTAGGCCCGAAAGTTGAAATGAATACTGGAACTGAAATCTATCGCCTGCGAAATAACCGTGTTAAAGGCAAAATCTGCCAGCAGGCAGTCAGTAGTATAAAATTACAAAAGGGCTGTCTGCGATAAGTTTGAAAATATCTCAATCACAATTTTCTTCTTTTTCCTACTGCCCTAACGCGATGGTTTATCAGAACAGAAAGTCGCACCTACCCAGCCGCTAACTGCTTGATTTACTCGTAAACGGAGATGCCGGCTGAGCTAAGACTCTTCTGAGTGAGCACATGAGAGTAACATGACTGACAGAAACTGCACAATTGAGCTCATAATCTGCATGCCGCATTTCCCCTCGGTCCACTGTGTGAACCGAATTAGCCAAAGATAAACATCACTAGGTGTAGGAAAGGACGGCTACTCACACGTCTACCTGGGAACCTTTTCGCTACAAGATTCGTTTGTAGTCCTTTTCTTCTTCTTCTTCTTCTTCTTTAGTAGGTTATCCGCTACGACAACTTCCCTCAGACTCGAAAGCTATAGAGGAAAGCAACCCAGAAGATGAAAATATTTCGCCTTTCGGACATTTGACAAGTATCTGGCGTGTCTTATAAAATACCTACCGAAATTAAGTAGTGTGTTCTTGAGTAGAAATGACGAGCTAAGTAGGTTTGTAATTTCAGTCATGTCACGACGCCTACTCTTGGAGGTGCTTATTTCTGGTCACCTGAAAAAATGCAATTGGAAAACATAGCTATGTAAAAAGTATGCGTTTTGTGACATCTTTCGATGTCCCTGTAAATCCATATATATTTATATATTCACTCAGAAATGTGCGAACACCGATCGAATAGGCTGATGAAGGCTAATAAGCCCGTAACAGTTCTGTATCAAGTTACCCCC